GATTATTTTTGATGAATTTTTGTTTTTTAATTTTTTTTGAAATTTTTATTTAAATTTTTTGAATTACTTTCAACCTCCATTTCTTTTTCTTTTTTAAAGATTATTCTTACCTTAGAAAAAAATAGATATAAAAAATAATGAAAATGAGAAAAATAACTAAAACCATACAAAATTAATCAAATAAATAATGTAATCAATAGAAATTAAACAGAAACTTGTAAGAAATAAAATAAATATATACGGAGTGGTGGGTTTTAACATTTTACACGTTATACGGAGTCTTAATGTACTACTTATTTTTTAAAAGAACAAGCCGTCCGGTAAAGTTAGAATTATTGTAGATAATTTTTTCTAAAAAATTAGAAGTGATATGTTAATATTTTGTATAATGCGTGAAATATTAAAACCCACCCGTATATTTTTATTTTACTTTTACTAATTTCAAGTTAGTTTCCATTGATTGCCTTATTTATTTTATTATTTTTGTATCATTTTAGTTACATTTCTCATTTTTTTCATTTTTATATCTATTATTTTTATTTTTTAAATTAAGACTAATCTTTAAAAAAGGAAAAAAGAAATGATGATGGAGGTAGAAAGTAATTTAAAAAATTTAAATGAAAAATTTAAAAAAATTAAAAAAATGAAAATTTATCAAAAATAATCCCAACTTTCATTTTGTTGCCTAAAACGGGCATTTCCGTTAACTCTCTGTTAGAAATTTAACGGCGGCCCAAAACTGGCAAATTTCAGTAAAGTTGGGATTATTATGCATCACAGTGAATGGTGGGATTATTTTTGAAAGACCGAGTAAAGTTAGGATTATTTTGGGTAATTTTTCCTAAAATTTTTGCATTTTTACTTTTTTAATTCTAATAATTTTGTTGTTTTTAATATTCTTTATTCTTTAGAGAGAAAATAATGTTTTTAATGCTCCATCTGTCCCATAATAGTAAAAATGTCTCAATATTAGACCTCCTAGTAAAATTATGAACAATAATATTGTCCAAATGACGTGTAAAGAGTAATTAAATCAACTCAAAAGAGGCCAAAATGAGCACACACTAATCAATTAAAGATGCAGAATAGGAAGGATGAAACGAGCTAACATTGTTGTACATAGCATCTACAACTTGTATGTTGTCCGAACAAATATCAACATTCTAATATATACTCTAATGTTATAGAGTACTCTGTAATTGAATCTTCTATTAAGGTAATACTTTGTGATAAACCATAACGTCAACTAAAAGCATTCGCGGCGACAAGTAAAAAATTGTCGCATCCTGTCAAGAGAAGAAAATCTTTGCGTGCACAGCGTAGGAAGGGAGACGAGCGCGACTAACGCATGTGCCTAAGAGTGAGCCAATCTGCTTAGCTTGGTGAGTCAAACTTCGCCAAATCACTAGCCACACTACCCCAATAGCCACCCAACTTCGTCGGTCATCTATCCAACCACCTTCGCCACCATGTACACATGTGTATCCCCTTTTTCTTGTAGTAATTGCCGACTGTCTATCTATTTTGTTACCACATTTGTTGTTTATCATACACTCATAAGCATGGGTGGCCCGGAGAGTGTGCGAAGTGGCCAACCGCACAGGGCCCCTTAAAATTTAGAGCACCTTATTTTTAGATTTGTTAATAATTTTAAAGCAAAAGTATTTTAAAAATATAAAATAGGACACAAAATGTCAATTTGGGACCGGATCAATTTTAGTTTTTCATTTTTTAGGGCCAGCCCTGCTCATAAGTTATGTCATAACACAACCATGCCACCATATAATATTTTATTTTATGAAATGATCGATAATATTATACAAACAAACAAAAAATATGAAGTTGTTGTATGAAAGGGAGAGGAGTATGTTTTTTTTCACACAAAGACTACACAATCAAAGGAAAAAGGAGCACGATTTATAAACCTTATTTGGGAACAACGTTTTCGATTAGCATTAGCATTTTGAAAATCTTTTTAATGGTGTAGATTCATTCCAAAAACATTAACGTTAAAAGTTACTGTCAGGTAACATTTTCAAAACGCTAACGCTGCCATCTGACGCTGATGCCAAATGCCCAAACCCACCCATAATCTACTCCGGATTATACTATCAAAATCCTCATCAAGTACAACAAAACTAAGATGAAGGCGCAGAAGCATTAGAGCTTGCTAGTGATATTGATGTTCCTAACTTTAGGCTGCCTCGCCGTCGTCTCCTTGGGCACTACCACCGTGAGCACGCCGTTCTCCACCTGGGCCTTGATTTGCTCCGCATTCACCCCCTCCGGCAGCTCTATTTCCCGTGAAAAACCTCCCTTTCCTCCACCGCGTTCCGCCACGTGCCAAACCACCCCCTTCTCCTTTTCCGGAGATTCATTTCTCCAGCCTTCCGCCTTCACCACCAACACGTTCCCGTCTTCCACCTGTACCTTGATCTCTTCCCTGCTGTACCCTGTACATAATTTATTTGTTTTTAAATGCTCGAAATTAATCTGAACCACATCAAAATTGACCGGAGAAAAACGAACCAGGAACATTGATTTTGAAGATGTGCGCGGCGGGGGATTCGATCCAATCGAGGAGAGCAGCGGAGCCAGGAGGAGCGCGGTGGTAGCCGGTGGGGCTCCAGAAGAAGCGCCGGAAAGGATCGCCGCCGAAGAAGGCCGCCATGGATTCCGATTAGATCTTCTTGCACGTCTGTAAACAAATCTCACCTCTGTAGATTAGTAGTTTTAAGTAAGGAGAAAGAAATCAGAGTGTCTGGAAGGTTCTTCAGAAGTAGGAATAGTATGTTCGAGAAGATACACATTAAAAAGGTTTGGGTCTTGCAAAGATGGGCTTTACCGTAAGTTCATTTTGGGCTCTTAGTATACAAACGTGGTCCAAACAATTTACCCGAGTAAGATTTTTTTTTTTTTTTTTGGATTTTTTTTGTTATTAGGCTGAGTATTGAGCTGGTTTGGTTTTTGTGGTCCAAACAATTTAGTTTTTGTGGTCAAAATTGACAAATTTTCATCATAAGTTTATTGAGCTGCCTTGGTTCTTATTAATTATTCTCTATGTTCCTAAAAGATTGCCACCGTTTTATTTTTTTGGTAAAACTATGGTACTTCTGATTTTTTTGGTCAAATTGTGCACCCTTTTAGTAAAGTCCTTTTCAACTCAAATTAAATTCTATCTTTTATACTTCCGTTGCCCCAATTTAAAAAGAATAAAAATAATTTTTTTACATTCTATTGGCGACAGATGAAGGAAGTTGGATCGAAGAAGGAAAACGAATCTCTTTGGAATTCGTTTAGTATCTTTCCTAGTTTGCTTAGTTCTTGTTTTAGTAGGAATAGAAATATGGTAGGATTAGAAGTTTACTAATATGCTTTACTCTCTTCCTATATAAAGAGGGTTAGACTTTTGTAATCTCCAAGCCAGTTCAATATACAAATTATTTTCTCCCTTATCAATTTCCACATGGTATCAGAGCAGGTTTTAAATTCTTGAAACCTTAAATACGTTTCTTACCCTGCTAATAGGCATACACAATTCAATGCCTACCGGCGGGAAATTGTAATTTTTTATTTTCTTTGATTGTTCTCCCTCACTAAAGAATATCATGAACTTCTTCAACGAAGAACATTGTTGTCGAGGAATCCTGCCCAACCATCAATCTTGAAGAAGTTGTCCGAGAAGGGTTGTTCTGCAGAGACAGACAACTCTTTCTCTTTGCAGGCAATAAAAAAAGTAAAATTTGTACTAAATAGGACTAAAACATAATGATTTTCCCAATGTAGGACTTAAACTTTTTTATTCCCTAAATAGGACTTAATAATGACCTAGTGGGAGGAATAATGTCCAGTAATGATGGACATTTACTTGAATAATGACTACTTGATAATGACCAAAAGTCCTACATTGGGAAATAAAAACATATGGTCCTATATTAGGAAAGTCATTATGTTTTAGTCCTATTTAGGTAAATTTCTCATAAAAAAGTCGGCATTCAGGGTGTTGGAAAAGAATGGCGTTCCCCCTGTTTGTTCGAATACAGTGAAGGTTCGAAAAGAATGGCGTTCCTTTACTCGACTGAATATTCGGCGGATTCGAAAAGCTTGGCATCTCCGTTGAAGAAAAAAACTGAAGTGTCTAGATGACACTTGGACAACGATGGCAGCGGCTTCCTCAAGCTTTGTTGCTTTGTTCAATCTTTTGATGTCCAAGCTGGGCATTTTGAACTCTCATGCTCCAGCTTGAGGAGGGGTGTTGGCGACAGATGAAGGAAGTCGGATCGAAGAAGGAAAACGAATCCCTTTGGGATTCGTTTAGTATCTTTCCTAGTTTGCTTAGTTCTTTTTTTTGAACCGAATGCAAAATATATTCATCACCGAAGAATATAGAAGTACAAGAATCAGTATAAGTGAGCACCCTCACCGCACTATACAAAACCAAGCCTGAAATAGAACCTAGCTACTCAATTCGGCTCCCCTAGAATTCAAGAAGGTTGTAACTTGAAAAATAACTCATTGTACAAACATATTCACATATTCTCTGTTATATGAATATTGTTATGCAGTACAGAGTTCCTTGCTCTCCAAATTGCATATACACACGCTGCGTATATAGCCGTAATCATCCATCTTCTTCTGCTTGGTGTAATAGTCTTCAGCCTCTCCATGACTTCTTCAATGGTCGTTCCCTCAAAGCTGTACTTACACCATGTCTTTAATCCAAGATACATTGTCTGAGCATAGTTGCATCTACAAAACAGATGCTCTATATTTTCCTCCCCATCCTTGCACAAGAGACAATATGTATCAATTGGGAGAAATTTACCAAGCTTACTCTTTGTTTGCAGCCTATCTTTACACACCAGCCATAGAATGAATTTATGCTTTGGTTTAGAGAGCCTATTCCACACTACATTGCCCCAGGATGGGGTTTGTTTCTGCCCCAGCAGCCACTTATATCCTTTATCAGGGTTGTATTCTTCAGTATATTGCATTTCCTTAAAGCAGTCCCTTACCTTAATCAACTTTTTCTAGTAGTAGCATGAATCATTTTTCAATGTGCAATCCCAAATAGAAGTCTCTTAAAGATACCTGCCATGCACCCATTTAATCCATAAGGTGTCTTCTTTCTTAGCAATACTCCGGATTAATCTCATGATACAGGCTGTGTTCCATAATACAACATTTTTGATTCCCAGGCTCCCATTATTTTTTAGTAAACATATCTCATCCCAGGCAACCAAGGGGTGTTTTTTGTATTCTGGGGAGGAACTCAGAGGAAATTCCTGCATAGAGCTTGGATCTTCCTCATAACCTTTGTAGGTATTATGAATATTCTGCACCAGAAATTCATGATACCAATTAAGACTGAGTTAATTAAATTGACCCTCCAAGAATTGATTTTTTGAGTCATACTCTCCCAGCTTAGTTCTTGTTTTAGTAGGAATAGAAAATATGGTAGGATTAGAAGTTTACTAATATGCTTTACTCTCTTCCTATATAAAGAGGGTTAGACCTTTGTAATCTCCAAGCCAGTTCAATATACAAATTATTTTCTCCCTTATCAATTTCCACACATTCTTTTTTAATTTTCTAATTTTTTAATTGTCTTATTTAATTATGCCTATCCATTTTTCTGATTACACCCTTTTTCTTGTTTTTTTAGGGAGTATTTTTTTTCCTTTCGTTTATATTATAAAAATAAAAAAAAAATAAGGCAAGATTGGTCACAATTCTTTTGCTGGATGGATGCATTCGTCTTCTAATTTAGAGTTGAGCAAATTGGTTATTGTTTCTTGCGAGGCGTTGATATCTAGTTTTAGTTTCCTTTGTGTTTCATCAATTAAGCGCTCTTTAAATTTGTAAGCTCTTACTCTCACTAGAAACGTAGAGTCATATTGTTGTGATTAGATTACGAGAAATGCTTAATTCACAAAAAAAAATTATCACAAATAATCCCCTGATTGTATTTTCTATCTTTTGAGAAATCAATGATAGCATTACTTTGGTTTTTTAAGGTGACACTTTGCCTTTTGCAATTAATCTTTTTGTATATTTCTATTGTCCATTTATTAAAATAAAATAGTTATATCACATCTTATTATTTTGTAGAACTTTTGATACAATTTTTTAAACAAAAATTTGTTGTTAGATATCTCTAGTTTTGTGGTTTAGAACTCCCTGACCCGTCATTTTTCAAAATTGACTATGAGGAGCCTTAAGATATGTGAAAGTTCACTCTGGATGGACTCTCCGTCATGTCCACTTTCTCTATTATCTTTTCATATTCTTCTTCTAAAAAAATTGCTATTCGATACCCCAAATTTTGTGTTAAAAGCATTTGAGTCTCTTGATTTTAAAAAAATATACTCGGGGTGCCTTGAATTATCCAAAAACCTACTTTGGAAGGACTTTCCATCCATCCCTTTGTCCTACGTACCCACTTGCTCCTTCTTCATTATTACTCCCTCTGTCCCAGAAAACCTTTCTCCTTTCTTTTTCATCCGTCTCAAAAAACACTTCTCATTTCTATTAAAAGTCACTTTTACCGCTTACTTTTTCATACCCTACTTATCACATCATTCCTTTTTACTAATAATTTATCTATCAAATCATACTTTTACCCATCACATCAAAGGACATTTTTGGAAATTCAATACCAAAATACACTCCCTTTAAATCCCCATTCACAATCAAAACTCCCATGTTTTCCGGGACGGAGGTAGTATTAATTAATTAATTAATTAATTATTTTGATATGTTATACAAATATCTAAACAATATCATTTGATAATAACTTCAATCAAATATCATTATGAGTGCATCTAAAACTTAATTGGAGACAGAGGCAGAATATCATAAACTTCTAATATTTGTATACTTACATGAAAACAAGCTCATCAAGAGTACTTTCACACCATTTAAAACTTTATGATATATGAATATAATTACGGGGTGGTTCGATCATGTGACGTTGGTCATCAATCTTATAGGATGACTCGAAACTCTTACGAAGTTCGGATAAAAAAATTTATGATTTTTACCACTCATTAACTCCATGCCCTCCTGACCCCCTTCCCTTGGCCAATTGGCTACAATGATTATTGTATCGAATCAGCGAATAGAGGGCGGAGAAAGGGAAGCAGAACATGGATGCAAAAGATGTACGGTTTAGTAGAGTTTGAGGGTAAAAAACTTACAATTTTTCAAATGAAACATCGTAAAAGTCTCAAGTCATTCTATGATATTGGCAACTAATGTTAGATGAACTCAAGTGATATAATTAACGATTAGATTTAAGATCGAAAAAACGAAAAACATATCATTTTTAATTTGGAATGGATGGAATAAAATCTAGCTAGGCTTCTTCTGCAGAGCCCATGGCGGGGGGAGGGAGGATTTGAGCTCCACATCTAGTGGCAAAATGTGAGGAATATATGGCTTTTTTAATCTCCTTTGATAACCTATTCACTAATGATTCCAAGGCTTCTTTCATCCACCATTGCTTGCAAGCATTTCTTGCTTCCCCTACACTTATCTGCCGTCCAATTAAAAAAAAAAGTATTTCGAACCAATAAATAACGGTAAAAATATAAATTTCAACTAGTAAAAATCAAAGAAATCGTCCTAAATAAAAGCAAAACAGATAGAAAATGTCAAAATAAGAGTTACATGTTTTTATTCACTAAATAAGAGTTCACATTGTGGTAATGTGACACTGTACATGTGTATTTAATTTTACTATACTTTTTGGTAATTTACATGGTCATGATTGATAATGTAAATATATTTTAACTCCTATTTTGCGAATAAAAACATGAAATTCTTATTTTGTTATATTTTCAATATTTTACTTGATCATATTTTATTCTTTTTCACTAAAATCCATTAGAGACCATCGTAAGACGTAAGCTAATACGTAGAAGGGTAGACATTGTTGAATTGATAGGCAATATTATTAGGGGCATATTTGTACCAGTAAATAGAAGGGAGACAAACTCTCTCTATTTTCTATCCGTAAGAGACACTTTTTGAACATTTTTCCTTTAACCAAAAAAATTAAACCACCACACACAAGAATGCATTAGGGCATTGACAAAAAAGAGTGTTAATTTAAATTTAAAGTTTACTTAATGACTCAAGTTTAAAACTTGGTCATCTAAAAAAATGGAAACAAAAGACATAAAGTTGCCAAAAATATACTCTGTTAAACAAAAACAGAATCACTTGTGAACCTTCTTACATAAAAATATCTTTTTTATTTTTTTATATTTAAAATATATATATATATATATATATATATATACTTATTTAAGTAATAATGAAATATTTATTTTACTCATATGTAGATCCATGGTGGACTGTAAGTCCACCATAGAATTTACCTCACTCTATATAACCCAAAAAAATCATTTTTTTAAAAGTAATAAGAATAAGTGGCTTCTTAGGTACCTGTAATTTTTTAATGCTCTGCAGGCGGTCTGTATATCATTTTAAATATTTACTAGGTCTTTATTTTTTAAAGTACTCTCCATATTCCTAAATATTTTAAATGCCTAACTACTAGGTCCTTATACTTTTTAGCTAGTGCATAAGTAGTTACGGAGTATTTCGGTGGTTTTGTTTTGGGCAAAGTCTTGAAAGATTGTCATAATAAAATTAAGCATCTAAGTATTGTTAAAATTTAACGTCTAATGAGTTATATAAATATGAGAAAACGAAACAAACAGGGAAAAATATGGTTATTTTATTTTAAAAAAATAGTCATTATATATCATAAACTTTTGTCACTAGTAATTTAGTCTCTTCAGACTTGGTGTCCAGACTACTTATGCGCCGTTTTAAAATTATAAAGAAATGGTAAACACTTAAAATAATTGAAGGTCTAAGAAACACTTCCAAAGAAATATAGAGACTTCTATAGTTCCATAAGTCATTTCGGAAAAATACAAAGAATTAATAAGTATGTAAAATAATTTGGGATTTTGAAGAGAATCATAATTAGAAAAAATAAAGAAGAATAATTATATAATGAGAAAGTAGTGGTAGAATATTTACCCAATGCCTTTGGCGAAATTGCATCTCGGGCCAAGAATCCAATTGCTCCTTGACAAGCAATGCGAACATGTGACCTTCGTATGAAGTTGCCTTCTTCTTTTTGTTATTGTTATTATCAAAATTCCATGTTCCCAATTTGCCCTGCAAAATGATTCCCAAAGTTACCTTCCGTGCATCTTCCACACATGCATATAACATGAGGTTTAATTTGGGTAAGAATAATTCTTAAAGTGAGAAATGTGAATGATACTCCCTCTATCCCATTTGAATTTTTCTGGTGCGCGTTATGATGCTTGATCAACTTTATTTTCAATTCAATTTATTTGGTTATGAGTGTAAATTTTATAAATTAAAATTAAATATTAAAAAGTATAAAAACTACATCAAAAGATCTACAAGGCTAGAAATGATATCATTATATTATGTTATCAAATGAGTAACGAAAATAGGGAAACAAGGTATATAAAGTTCGACCCTGTGAATCGCGCGTGTACGTAAAAATTTAAGTTGGACGGGGAAGTATATTTTTAGTTCATCGAATCGCAATGCATATTTGTGTTGAATTGAAAGTAGTACTCCCTCCGTTTTCAAAAAAGGTTCCTAGTTTGACCAAATATATAAATAAGGAAGTGTTAAATTGTAGTTGACTTCCAATTTTTTCCTTGATGTGATAGGATGAGTAAAAGTAAGATGTGATGGATAGATTATTAAAGAAAAATTATGATGTGATAGGTCGTAAAGTATGAAAAAATAAGTGCAAAAGTTGTTTTTTAATGGGAAGTGGAAGTATTTTGTTGGAAAGTAGAAAAATGAAAGAGCAAGCGTTTTGTAGAACGGAGGGAGTACATATTTTGCAATGACTTGAAAACTTTTACTTATTTACAAAAATGCCACTGCATTTTTTTCAATAGTTTTCTTATTTTTCAGATTTAAAATTTTGTAAGGATGTAACAGTCACTTCATCATATATAGATTATGAGTGCAGAGTACATTTAAGTTTAATATAGCCGGCCTGCCCTTAATTTAAGATGTCATGTACTCACTCCGTCTCAAAATGATATTCTTTATTTGAATGCAAAATATCGTCATTTTAAAATTATTTTTATTTACAAATTGATATTGAAATAAACAATAAAAACTTATTTATTAAAAACTAAATAAAAATTTCTATTATTACAAAATAAGATTTGACAAGAATATTTTATTTTATTAAATAATCAATAAAAACAAACAAAAATGATTTAGAAGTTGTAATAGTAATGAAGTACGTAGTAAATCATTTTAGGAGAGCCACCATATATTTTTCTTCTAAAATAGTATAGGGAGTATTAGGTTATAGGGACAAGGCAGGTGGACATGAATGGCATTAATTGAGGTTAGATGGGAGTAATTAAAAAAAAGATGGAGGCTTGAATGAAAAGCATTAAAATAAAGTAGTCCCTCCGTCCCACTGTCTTTGTCCACTTACTTTTTGGCACACCATCCAATGCACTTCTTTAATCCATTTTATCTTGTAAATTGTATATTAAAAAATTATAGAAATTATATATTAATAATCTATATGTTAAGACGAATCAAACAAGATCACACATGACCATTTTTAGGCTTACACATTGAGAGAATTTGATGAGTCAAAGTGTTTAGATGAACAGTTCCTATAGTCAAAAGTGGACAAAGACAGTAGAACGGAGGTAGTATGTACTTAAATACAAAGTATTAATTAATACTCCGTAATAAATTAATTAATTAAAAATTAAACTGACCTGAACCTGACCAAGCACCCCAGCTTCTTCCATTGTTTCTCTCAATGCTGCATCTTCAATGGCTTCATCTGTTTCCCATCCACCCTATTACATATATATAAATTGTCAATATTCTCATATCTTTTAATTTACTCCCTGCATTAATCTTTGTTAATTTACTGTTATACGAACTTTTTGATGATATATTTAAAAAAATAAATAAATATGTAAATGTCAACAAACAAGCTTGACCAAAGGCTCAAATTTGTGCTTGTAGGTCCAGAAAATGTTTTTAAATTCTAACAATAGACATATTTTATTTCTATATCTATTGTTGGAATATTAAATAATAATATTACTCCTTGAATTATGAAGTACATGATAGAGTATATATAGAAGAGGCTCCTAACACAACTAGGAATAGAGAATAGAAACTAACTAAAATACAACTTCTACCATAACTAGAAATACTTAATATTATTGTCTAACATCCCCCTCAAGCTGAACTCTGGCTGAAGCAAGAGGAAGCTTGGACACTAGCCGGAAAACTGGAAACTTTGAGAAGAGAGAAGTTTGACGTGCGCCGGTGGCTGCTGACGTCGTTGGAGAAGAAAGAAGTCTGACGTGCGCCGGTGGCTGCTGACGTCGTTGGAGAGGAGAGAAGTCTGACATGCACTGGTAGTTGCAGACATCGTTGAAGAAGAGAGAAATTGACGTGCGCTGGTAGCTGCTGACGTTGAAGAATAAGAGAGAAGGTTGACGTGCGCTTGTAGCTGCTGACGTCGAAGAAGAATAGAGAAGGCTACTGGAGGTTCCTGTTTGACTGAAGATCCTTGACATTTTTTGTCTTTTTCTTGGATCCGGGCAATGCCTTATTTCCTTCTTGAAGGGGTGAGTTGTAGAGGTCTTATTTTCTCTTTCACTACTTCCCCTCTTGGCTTTGCTTTTGTGCTGATTTACTTTGGATTTTTATTGGTTCAACAGAAGAGAAAGAGAAGGGAGGTTGATGATTAGAATGAATGATTTTAGAGAGAAAAAGTAGGTTAAGAATTGCTGATGGAAAAAAAATTGGGTCTGAGATTTTGATATGGTGAATTAGAGAGAAACAACAATCATTTTTTTTCCTTTTTTTTGAGAAGATAGGATGATCTGAGAGAGTTTGTGAGGAGTTGGGATTTTTTTTTCATTTGAATGGAGAAGCTGATTTGAAGATAAAGAAGGAAACGAAAATAGAGGTGAATAGGGTGGAGCCGCCGTTGCCAAAATTACCGGCGGCGGCGGTGGGAGCAAAGATCTTTTTTTTAGGTCACCAAGAGCGGTGACTCCGATACCATGTTGGAATATTGAAATAATAATATTGCTACTTGAATTATGAAATACAGTACATGATAGAGTATATATAGAAGAGACTCCTAACACAACTAGGAATAGAGAATGGAAACTAACTAAAATACAACTTCTACCATAACTAGGAATACTTAATATTATTGTCTAACATCTATTTTTCATTTTTCAATGTGCAAAAATGTTATAGTAATCGATTTAAAAGACTAGACTAGAATTTAGTGTCTAATAGAGTTACAATATTTAAGTATCGATTGAAATATTACGTTCATACAAATATCTATGATCAACATAATTATATTACAGACTATTTTAAATTAAAAGCACTCTCACTTGATTTTATAAGTTTGAATCTTACGGAATACTTGTAATACTATGTTTCGTTCAATAAGTTTGAAAAAGAAAAGAAAACAATATAGAAAATAATTTTTCTTATTTATTTGGAGAAGAGAAGTAAAGTAAAAAAGATCTAGTAAAGAAAAATGTGGGGAGAGAATAAACTAAAATAGTAGAAAACAACTGTCCTCCTATTTTGGTCTCATAAGAAAAATGAGAGAAATTCTCTTTCTTTTCTTTTAAACAAAAGCTCACATTCAAAACCTTTTCTTTTTCATAATACTCCCTCCATCCCACAAAATCTTTCTCCTTTTCTTTTTCATCCGTCTCAAAAAACTCTTTCTTTTCTCTATTAAAAAAATTACTTTTACCCTTAATAATTCTTAACCTACTTATCACATCGCACTTTTTCTCTAATAATATACCGATCACATCCTACTTTATTTATCACATCAAAAGGCATTTTTGGAAAATCAATACTAAAATACACTCCTTTAAATCCTTTAAAAGTCAAAATGGAAAGTTTTTTATGGGACGGAGGGAGTAGAATTGAATCAAAATGTTCTTTTTTGGGGAATGAGTGAAATACTTGGTAAAAAAATGAGAGTAATTAAGTTAAGTATCTAGGCATGAGTTAGGCAAAGACTAGATTGGAATTGAATCAAAATAGAGCCTAATTAAGCTATAATGCTGATGTGAGTACTTCATTTTTTTCTTAAATAAAAAAAAAGTTATTGATTTGATCTGTACGAACCTTAAAAAAATTATAGAGTGAAAGCTAAGTTTATACTTCCTCCATCTCTAAAAGGCTAGATTATCATAGTTTGACTTTTTTGGTCAAATTGTGACACCATTTAACCGCAAATTATGGAAAAAATATATTTAGTTATAATGTAAATTTAGTAAAATTGTGTTTATTTTAAGATATAGTTTTGAAATATCAAATTTTTATAATATTTAATTATTTTAAACTATACTTATTTTGTGGTCAAAAGATGTTACAGTTTGGTCAAAAAAGTCAAACGATGACAATCTTTTAGGAACGAAAGGAGTACATATGACAAAGGAGCGTTGAAGAACTTCGACTCTTACACGCATCGGTAACATATTTCGCCTTTGAAGACGATCTCACATCAAAAGTATTTTGTATTTTTTGGACAAGGTGATGAACTTTTCTTTGACACCATCATAGATACACAAAGCACTGTATAAAGTATAAACCTTCGGTTCACCATAGCATTTACCGTCATTCAATGGTATTAACTATTCCCAATTTTATGCATAAATTTAGGTTTAATTACAAGTGAAAACTTAAATAAAAAAGCTTAATTAACAAATACTCCCTCCGTCCCAAAAAGATTTACACGTTTCAAAAAAATTGTGTCCCACAATCTCTTACCCATTTCTATTAAAAAACCACTTTTACCCTTTACTTTTTCAAACCCTACCTATCACATCATACCTTTTTCCTAATAATCTACACATCACATCCTACTTTTACCCATCACATCATGGGTATTTTTGGAAAGTAAACACAAAATTATCCATCCCTTAATTTCAACTTTAGTCAAAATGGGTAACACTTTATGGGACGGAGGGAGTATAATACATGACTAACAAATTATACACCCTATTATATGTACCTTTAATTACGTACCTTAGGAAACAACATCCCTTTCCCTTTTCTTTGTGGAGTAATGACAAGAATTTCAATGGCATCTTCGGCATTATTATTATAATTATTATTGTTAACTACTAATGACGTCTCTGCAATTCCTTCCTTGTATCTATACGGCACACATCTGGTTTTCCAAAACCCACACACAAATGACACATTAATAAACTAATTAATATCCCTTAATTAGGGTTTCTGTTAAACAACTCAACTAAGTTCAAGTTTATGAATTCACTCAAACCTTTTCAATTTATTCCCTTATAACACAAAAACTGTAAAAAATAAGTTGCACGAAAATTGGTGGAAATGCCACATTTTATTGAGAATTTGGGTGTCCTATATATGCAAAGTTTTTCGTTTAAAAAAACGTTGCAAATGAAACTTAAATCCTCTATAAAAAGTTTTAAATTAAGGAGGACGAAGACATACCCGACGACTTGGCGGCGGCCGTCGTTGTAACGCTGCAAGTTCCGGCCAGTGCGAGCAACCAGAGACTCCATGGTTATTGTCCAATTGACTCAAGGAATGAAAATGATCAAGTATATATAAATAAACTAAATGGAATTATAAATTGTAAAATTAAAATGAAAAAAAAAAGAAGCTAAGAACAAGAAGGATAGTTTATATTCTATCGCCGAAAACGTTGATTTGGAGTGGTATTGCCACCCTTTGTGATGCGGTCTGGTATTTATGGTGTCCATCACTAGTGCACTTGGTCCCACTCTTTCTATTTTTTTTTTTTTGTAATGGTTCCCATTCAAAATGAATTTTACATTTTTTTGGAAATGTTTTAAAATATGGGCCTGTTGGGAAATAACGCTAGAGATTAGCGTCATCGTTTTAGATAAAATTTTAACAGTGTAGATTACTTTGAAAACACTAACGTTAAACGCAGCCCGTAGATAGTCTTTCAAAACGCTAACGCTAAACTCTAACACTATTTCCAAACAGGCCCTAGGTGAATTTGAAAATTTTTCATTATAAATTTCAAACAAATGTTAATACATTTTACTTTTCAATTAACGTGCATTTTTCATAAATTATGTAAAATTGAATCCATAAATTTTGTTTTAGGAGAGAGAGTGTATTTTTTTATTCTAGTTCCCATTATTGTATTTTTATAATGCCCTAGAAAACATAAATATTAAAGGCGGGGAATCCGGGGATATTGCAATCAAGAAAGGTAAGATTATTATTGACTTTAACCTATTGACGTAAGGATTCTAGCATGAAAAAAGATCATCATTTGGGTGTAAATGCTAGACTCACAAAAATTAAGAGTCACAAAGTAATCTTATTATTTGTACAACTTACTGAGTGAAAAAAATGATTTTAAATAATTAAAAAATTAAAACTTTAAATATGTAAATAGAAAGTTTGTGTATTTTTTGACATTTGTAATTGTGGTTCTAATATTTTCATACGGAGTATGTTTAAATTTTCTGAGTTTAATTATACGTGTAATTAATATCAAACCATTTATTCTCTTACACTATGTTTGGTTCAAGGAATTTGAGAGGAAAATGAAAAGAAAATGAGAAGGAAAATATTTTTCTTGTTTGGTTAGAGAGGAAAAAAGAAAAGAAAAGTGAAAGGAAAAAATGAGAAAGCAAAATGTATTAAGATGAAGGAAAACCAAGTTCCTCTCTTTTTGATGAGAAAACTGAGAGAAAATTATTTTCTTTTATATTTCTTTCAAATTTCTTGAAACAAACATAATGTTAGAGAGTTACAGGCTGTTTGGATTGAGAGAATTTGGTTAGAAGAAAAAAGTAGGATGAGAAAACACATTTTTCTAAAATATTTCTACCATTTGATTTGGATGGAAAATGTTAAAGGGAGACGAAATAGCCTAAGCATAGATGGGAAAAGTTTTCTCGGCTACATAGAAAAATAACCAAATAGCAAATATTCGCTTTTATTATCTTTTTTCACAACCACAAATCACCATACGCATATTTTCACATTTTTTTCTTTTAGGAACAAAATTTTCTTTTTTTAAATTATATTATCTTTCTTCTTACTTTCTTTTATAAATCAATTTCTACTCATCCAAACTATAATTATTTTCATTTCATTTCTTTTCTCTCTATTTCCTTTCTCATGAATTTATTTCCTTTCATTTTCTCATGAATTTATTTCCTTTCATTTTCTCTTCTAAACCAAACAAAGACATAGAGAACAACTTTGGTCATATAAAGCTTTTTCCGTTTTGACTTTTGACTATCAATGAATTTAAGTGGAGATGTTTCTCCTTTTAACTTGTTTAAATTATTCCTGGATGTTATAAGTAGATCAATAAAATAGAGAATAATTATGTAATTTAATAGGTTGAAAATGTATATATGAAGAGATATATTGCATTGCAATAGGTCGACTTATTAGTGTTAAAAAAGACTAGCTAGTGCGCTACGACCTGGGTAAGCAGGCCATTAGACATTCTTTAATCTTTCAGAAAATAGTATATAACTCCTTCCGTCCCAAAAATAATAATTACATTATTTACTATTCAAAAGTCATAGAAACTTTTGTTTATCTGTACTTTTGATTTACTATTTGATAAAATAAAATATTCTTGTCATATATTTTTTTGTAGAACTTTTGACGTATTTTTTAAATATATGTATGTTTTTTTAACTTATATACTCCCTCCATCCCTCAGTTTTTGTCCACTTTCATTTTTACACATCATCTAATGCACTTCTTTAATCCATTTTATCTTGTAATTTGTATATTAAAAAATTATAAAAATTATATATTAATAATCTATATGTTAAGACAAATCAAACAAGATCACACATGACTATATTTAGGCTTACACATTGAGAGAATTTGATGAGTCAAAGTGCTTAGATGAACAGTTCCAAAAGTCAAAAGTGGACAAAAACTGGGGGACGGAGGGAGTACTAATCTTTAAATAAAATGAATTTTAAAAATTTAAAATTCTACTTCACTTTATATACGGAGTAAAGTGTAAAAGATTCTGGGGCGAGTGGAGTATATTTATACTCTCACAATAATAATACGTTGTACTTTTCTGTGTCTGAGTATTTGTCTAGTTTTGACTTTTTCAGATAATGATTTTCAAGCTTTGACCTATAATTAAATAAAATATATATTGTATTAATTAGATAAAAAAATATTTTAAAAATATTTGATATAATAAATCTAATAAAACTATTTTTGTATCAATATCTAAAATCATTTTTAAATCAAAAATTACCAATTTTGACTGAAAAAGGCAAAAATGGACCAATGCTTAGGGGCAGAGGGAGTAATAATTAACCATGCTTCTATTTTCTGCACCTGAATTTCTCTGCAATTTCCCCAAAAATAGTCATCACATGCATCCATGATGGGCCAAAAACGATTCATTTTATTCAAAAAAGTGTTTCATTACTATTTTTATTTATGTTAACCAAAAGAGAATAAATTTTGAAGACATGTCATTTTTGTATATTTTAATAGTATTTGTAATTTGTAAAAGCTTACTATTCTCAATGACCGTCTGACCGGATCTGAGAGGCCTCGAAAATGGGACTCATCATCTTTTTTTGTAATTTGTAAATGTTCGATGATGTATATTTTAATAGTATTTGTAGTTTGTAAAAATTTAATTTTTGCTAACAGTCAAGTCCAAAAGCTAATTCTTTTGACTTTTTAGATTTTAGCTTTTCAGATCAAACGACTAAGTGAAAAAAGTCATCAGTCAAACAAAGGGTTTGGCTGTTTAATTGATTAAAAAAGCTGAAGTCAGTCAAAGAGAGCAAAAGACATCTTTAAGTTATTTTCCAAACACATCCAAGGACAAGTTGCAACCTTACGGATTCACGAATGATAATGCACACTGATTATGTGATATAAAATAAAATTATTTTTAATAAGATTTAAATACTATTAGGTGTAGATTGTACAATTTTAGTGGAATATTACATCCTCCGTCCCATTCTAAATTGTCTGTTTCGATTTACGATGTTTGACTAAAATTATTTTTTAAATTATTTTAAATGAAAATTGATGTAGAATTAAAAAATAATATGCAAAAATACAAGTTAGCGGGTTATGAAAATATTTATTATATTAGAACACTACGGCTCATGAAATGTTGGAGTCTAATATCATAGCATGATCATAACACCTCTAGTGTTCAATATAAAAAATTGACGGTTCTTCCCCCCTAACCACCCCTTCACCGATTGACTACAGTCACCACTTTAGCCGACTGACAAAGGGAAAAAGACTAAACTACAAATAAAGTATAGAAAATCTACCAAAATAAAAGTTTCATGTTTTTTTTCTAAAATTAGAGTTACACTGTAAATAGAATGTCTGCCAATATATAATACTCCCTTCGTCCCAATTTAATTTGTGTATTTCGGTTTACGATGTTTGACTGAAATTATTTTCACATTATTTTATATGAAAAGTGGTGTAGAACTAAAAAATAAAAATTACATATTAAAATACTAAATTGAAAGATCTACAAAATTAGTGGTGACATGACTATTTTATTTTATCAAATTAACGAAAATAGAGGAAGAAAGTAAATGAGGTTTAACCTTGTGGATAGTAAACAAGCAATTTAAATTGGGACGAAGAGAGTACCAAAACGCATTGTTAAATATCTACATACATTGCTACATTATCACAATACAAATTTATATTTTGAGAATAAAAACATGAAACTTTGTTTGTATTTGTTGCTTGTACTTGGTGTCTTATCTGTGCTATACTGTGTTCTCTTCCATATTTTTGTGCAGGTGGAGCCGGGGGTCTCTTGGAAACAGCCTCCCTACTTCCGAGTAGGGGCAAGGTCTGCGTACACACACCCTCCCCAGACCCTACTGTTGTGGGATTCAACTGGGTTGTTGTTGTTGTTGTCATTGAGGAAAGGGAGGGGGAGGGGAGAGAGGTTTAGAGAAAAGAACCATTAATTTTTTGAGCGGAGCACCATACGTCACAAATGCTTCGAATCATGCTATGATATCACTCCAATATTACATGAACCGACCCAGCATTAGAACATCTACCTAACACGAAAATAATCAACAATGACATAACCAAATGCACCACAGAAAAACAGTCTGAGAAAAGCTCTAACTCTTGAACACATATTGACTTCAACCAAGGTAGAAGGAACCAACCATACGTTGTTAAATTGTCCGAGTAAAATAGTACCTCCGTCTTAGTGTATTTGTCTTGTTTGAATTTTACGAGTCAACTTAGACAGATTTTAAATCTCAATTTAATAAAATTACTCCGTATAATGTATACTAGTATAAAAATAATTTCAATATATTTATTTTGTTGAAATATTTCAAAGTCTAATTTAATTATATTAATATAAAATATAAATTAATAGTAATCGAAAATTAAATTTTTTTTAGTTTCACTCAAAAAAATTAATCTGAATGAACACAAAAAGAGTATCCAATCAAGCTTGACCCAGCACTATTTGAATTCCGATATACTCCGACAAAAAGAGTCCGGTCCGCCTAAGGCTGAAAAATAATATTGGGCCCAAATTAGGGGAATGGATTGAATAACATACTATCGTTCAACTCTATTTGAGCTCACTTTAAAATAAAGTTTATGGTGCATTTATTTCATTCGCCAAAGACCCAAAGTGGATATGTTGGAATTTATTTTGAGATTTATTTTAGAGTTTGGAATGTATTTATCCTAAAAAATGTGTCTAACTTCTTAAAAAATGAATATGTTGTTCAGACTATTTGCTCCTTTCCCCTTACATGACTACTAACTAAATAGTCTCTCTATCTTTTGTAAATCTCGATATAATTTGTTTTGTGCATACGAAGAATTTCTTTCCATCATCTCCGATAAAACCAGAAATTTATTCTTTTTTGGCTTTTGAAGTGTAATAGAATAAAGTAAAGTTGATTTTTAAATTTTCTATGCTTTCTTAATGAATGAAATAACAATTAGTCTATCAATGCAACTTTCGACGATGAGCTGGTGCCTCTTTGAAAACATCTTTTCTTTCGAGTAGATGTAAGGCATGCATACACACATCCTCAAGAGACACTACTCTTGTAGGATTTAACTAAATTGTTGTTATTGTGCATATTAGGAGTTTGTTTTTAGGGTTAAAAAAATGTTGCATGTTGGAAAAATTAAAAGGGATTTGAAAAAAATTAGAAAAATTGGAAAAACTAGAAAAAATGGAAAGAACTAGAAAAATTGAAAAAAACCAGATAAAACAGGGAAAAACTGGAAAGAGTTAAAAAATATTGAAAAAAAGAAAAATGTTAAACTTTTTTTAAATAACAGAAAATAAAAATTTAAAAGTTTGAATTTTTTATTAGTTCTATTTTGATTAATGGGTATTAGTTATATTCTTTGTTATTTAAACTTATTGGTTCACACATTTTTTGGTTCGTTTTTTCCCTTTTCAGTAGTTTTTAATAATATAATACATAGATGTTTTTCCTAGATGAATTTAGATTCATAAATTTTTATCCATAATTTTTCCATAATTTTTTTATCCATAATTTTTATCCATAATTTTATCCATAATTGTTATCCATAATTTTATCCATAATTTAGATTCATAAATCTTTATCCATAATTTTTTTAACATATGTTAGTGTCACGGAAATTAGTAAACAGTTTTTTATTACTTATATTAAAAAGTGGAAGAAAACAAGTAATAATGAGTGAGTCAAAAAATAGTAAAATAGGAAAAGTAAAACAGATAAATTAACATGATTTGCAAACTATAATTGAGAGTATAATAACAATATAAATAATATAAGTAATAATAATATAAATAATAATAATAATGACATGAAAACTACGCCATTTTTTTAGACTAGAAACAGTTTGAAAAAAAATTTAAATAATTGAAAGAATCAAGAGGAAGTTGGAAAAACTAGAAGAAATTGAAAAATATTAAAAGAAACATAATTCACAGAGCCTGTATATATATCAAATGGTTATAAAATATTTTAAAATCTAAATGAACTGAATATTTTTAAACGAACCGAATATATTTAAACGAATCGAATATTTAAACGAACCGAATATGTTTACTATATTAAACGAACCGAATACGAGTCTTAAAAAATATTCGAACCGAATTCGAATTCGAATTCGAATATCACTCCATCTTAACGAATATGAATATTTTTCATGAATATTCGATTCGATTCGATTCGTTTACAACCCTAGGGGAAGTGGGAAAAACGAGAACCATACCCCATAGCTTTAAATGCTACAATAACATATTGAAATGTTGTCAATCACAATCTCACTATAGCAATCATGATTCTACAATAGTGTCACATGTCATGGTCACAAATGACATTGACACTATTACTTCATCTATTAATATTCTTATAAATTCCCACTCGGGATCTTATTTTTTATTTCTCGATCAGGCTTGTATATTCACTCGCAC